AGGCCTATTAATCCATCGTACGGGATTGGGAAGTCATCTTTTACTATATGAAAGGTGTGTGGTAATGTTGTGTTATGGGTTGTCAGTTTTAGTTGAATTTCTCCTAATGTGTTTACCGTACTTTCCCCTATTCCATGTAAGCTTGTGCGTTTGTTTCTGTTAATTTGGCTTGAGTTTGGTAGTATGATTTTTTGTGTTATTAAAGAAATGTCAGCACCGGTATCAAGTAATAATGTAATGTTTATTCTGTTTATTCTTAATCTAATACAACTATTGAGGTTTTGACTTAGTGTATAAATCTTATGTGTACTTAATTTGAACTCAGGGGACGTACAGAGTTTTCCTGTTGCTCTTCTTCGTTTATGAATCTATTATTATTGTTAGTGTTTTCATTTTCTTCATTTATAAATCTAATGTTATTATTGTTCTCATGGCTTCTACTATTGTTGTTATATCTATTACTACTATAGTTATTGTTGCGATAGCTACCATTATTATTGTAGCTGTTGTAATTTCTATAATTTCTATTAAAATTTTTTGATCTGTCATTTTGGTTTGTAGGACTTCGTTTTGAAAAGAGTATTGTGTTATCTGTTATATTAGTAGAGCTACTAACAAACTTAGCTATTACTTCGTTCATGTTGGTAAATTGACCAGCCTCCATTATTGTTTTTAATTTTTCGTTTGTACAATTTAGTACAATGGCTCTGACAGCTACCCTAGTCGCGTATTCATTTGCTGTTTCAGGCTTTAACTTATCTATGATATATGCACGTTTTAGTGCCTTTGTAATTGTTTCAATTTCGGATGTATATGCGTTAGCTGTTTTCCCGTGTTGTTGCAGATTCATTAATCGGGCTTCTAGTACCTGTACTGATTCTCCCTTTATATTTCTTTTTAGAGTCTCTATAATTTCTACAATGGTTTTTTCTTCTGTAACAAGTAATCGTACATCACCTTTTAGCTTTGTTTTGATTATTCGGATTGCTGTTGACTCGTGTGTACCCTTAATGTCGTCCAAAAGTTCGAGTGAGTCTATAAAACTTTGAAGGTTTTCAGCCTTCCCATCAAACTCTTGGATCAATTTTGATGCTGAATTAAGGAATTCTATATTTGTTTGTGCCATTTTGTAATTTGCTATGAGAGTTTTCTTAACGTCTGTTATTATTTCGAATCTAAATTCAGCTTGTTTTTCTAGAGCAATTGGGATTGAAGCTGTTATTTGATGTTTACTGCAGATATTAACTAAAAAAATTTTGAGTGTTTCTATTATTTCAGTGACTTGAGGCTTTTCATCGGGTGTTCCTAATTCTGAGTTCTCTCTTATTATTTCCTTTATGTTATTAAAGCTATCGAATAGGGTATCTAAATGTTTTTTAATTGTAGATGGTTGAATATATATGTTTTTGTTGAGACACTTGTAGGCTTTATCAAAAATTTTTTTATGTGATTCTATTTTGTCCTTTATGTCTTCCCACTCCATTGACATTTATAATTTAATGATAATGATGGCAAAAATTTTAAATCAATATAACTTCTCGAAATTAAATTATTAAAATTCCTTTTTTTTCTAAGTGTACATTAATTTATTTATTTTACATTTAAATATTTTATTTATTTATTTATTTATTTTATTTTTCATTTTAGCCTTATAAATAACAATTTTAATGTTGTTTGTTTTAAATTTTAAATTCATTTGTTTATATTTTAGTCTTATATATAAATAGGTAATAATTTTAATTTTGTTTGTTGTTTACATTTTAATCTTATATATATACATAGGTAATAATTTTAATTTGGTTTGTTTCAATTCAATTTAAATTCATTCGTTTAGTTTACATAATATTTTTAATATGTACCTATATTTATATATATATATATTTTATTTTTTTTTTAATTTTATAACACCGGCGTTTTCGCCAGGTTGTTTTTATTTTGTTTTTGTTATTGTTGTTGTTGTTGGTGTCGTCTTTGTGCGTCTGCTTCTTGTTGTTGTTCTATGTCGTCAATTCGTTTCCAAATTGCGCAGGCTTCGTCCCAACATGGTGGTGGTTCGTTGTTGACGATCGCTAACAGCGCTGCTCGAAGTCGTCGTAATTTCACAATTTTCCCGCCTCGCTGTCTTTTTGGTGGTGATGCGTTTGGCGTTTCCCTTACCATGCGTGGTTTCGGGCCGGCTGCTGGGTCGAGCATGCCTTATTGTATTGGCTTGGGCTCTTATTATTTTTCTTGCCGATTGTAGGCAGGATCGCCATGTGATAGGCGAAATGCTTGAATGACTTTATTCGAGCTCAAGGCCCGTCTTTTATACGTTTTGGTTTACATTGGTTCTTATGCATAAGCTTAATCCTAACTGTTCTTATGTTCTTATCGTAATCTTACATTAGTTAATATGAAACATATGGTAATTAAAGGAGCTTTGAAGTTTAGTTACATTGATCGGTCAAAGGAGCTTTGAAGCTTTTGAGCGTGGTTTATGTCTGTTATACAAAGGTTGTTATATTTGATGTTTATATATGAAAGGCTGTCATACGAATGTTACAACCTTTTTCTGTGGGGGAGATGGAGTTAAGTTAGTCGCCTGGAGTGACTTGTTGACCCATTATGGGTGATGCGGGGATAATACTTACCAGGCATCCTAGGTTGGGTGGGTACGCAGTGGCTAAGAACACCGATGGCCACCAAAGATCCAAATTTCCGCCGCCTTGTATTTGAATGTTTACGTTTTTTTGGTTGTTTACATTTTGTTAGTGATCGCAGAGAGTTAGTGTTGTGAGACGACCGTAATCGATGTTTGTATTTTATGTTGTCGGACTGCGGGCATTGGGGAGAACTTGGCCCAAATGAGATCGCTGAACTAGCGGCGCTGCCCACGAAAGAAGCAGTTCGTAACATAATGGCGCCCAATTTAAAAAAAAAATATATATACATGGTCGAGGCGACGACGTCTCGCGAGGAGCTGACTTAGTTGGTCAGTCCTTCGGAACGGTGGCTTGCAAGGAAGTTGCAATTGCATCGGGATGGGGGACTGGCGAACTAAGGAGAAGCTGAGGAAGTGGGAGTCTTTTCCAGAGTGCTGGCCAATTGCTCCCTGGTCGCACAATTAAATTTTGAAAATGGTTGAGTCGACGAGCTGGCCTAGTTTCCGGTCACTCTGAACGGTGGCTTGTAGACGTATGCAATTCCATCGGGAAGGGAGACTCGGGAACTAGAGATCAGCTGAGGAAGTGGGAGGCTTGTCCAGAAATATGCTGGCCAATTGCTCCCTGGTCGCAGTATCAAGTTATTGAGCTGTGATACAAATGTAGTCTGTGATAAATAGTCTCATTTGCTTTGAAGTTTTTGTTTGTCACAATAATTTATTTATTTATACATATATTTTTTTTTGTTTGTGTCTGAATTCGAGGTTGGATTCCTGGGTTTTTCTTCCGTCTGTAGGTTTCCAATTTCCTGTCGGTTTGAAAAACTTAATTGGTACTCGTGGCCCGTGGAAGCTCACGCGATGCACGAGTCCCTCGATTTGCGATGGAAACCGCAGTTGAGGAAGAAGACCAACAGCAGTCCAGAAGCAGCTGGAGTTCTTAACTTGCAGCTATCACTTAAAGTGATAGCTAGACCACTTGACGAGCGGCTGGATAGGGGCGGAAATTTGAAGATTTTTGAAGCGATGCGTAGATGTTTAAACGTCGGAAGTCCACCGGCGACAATTAATTCCATCTCCCCACGGTAGACCTGGAAGATAAATAGAATAGAAGAACTAGTTTATCTGGTGGCTCGAAGAGTTAAATATTTAGTGCAATTTTTTTTTTTGGTATTTATGGTTATTTATTTCAGGTTATTTATTCGGTCGTTTCATGATTTATTTATTAATTTATTGTTATTTAATGCATTATTTATTTTGTCATTATTTATTTATTTTTTTATTTGTTAATTTATTTATTACATTATCTATTTCGTTATTTATCTATATATATAAAAATGGAGGCAAATAAAGTGCGCAATCGCATCACATGAAAACGGCTTGACCGATTTGGCTGATTTGGTAGGGAGATAGCTTAGAACCAGAAGAAGGTTTTAGCATAAGAAAATTTTGGGAAAACCTTCTGGAAAAGTCGCTAGCGGCTCAAAAGATGTACACAATGTTGTATGTAAAAAAAAAAAGATCATAGCTCCGTTGATTTTGTGTATCGATGAAGTCGGTAAAAAATATTTAAACAAAAAATAGAGCGAGCTTAAACAATTTGAAATAATGCCTGCTGTTAGACGAATAGGACTTGGACGGCGTTCGCGTAATGCAATAAATAGTCAGAATTTCCGTAATAGTCGGACGCAAGAGGAACGTGCAGAAATAAATGCATCGACACGTGCCCGAATGGCACAGCTTCGCGCTGCACAAACCCCACCTCAAGCCCGACAAAATAATAGAGGAAGACGGACCGCAAATGAAAACTTGAATCGCGCTGCATTCGCATACAATCCGGAAACACCCTACAAAGATCATAGCTGCGTTGTTATTGGTTCATTGTCTGTCGTATGTCAGCATTGCAATGCACTGAAGTTTCGATTGGAAACACCCGGCTTATGCTGTGCAGGTGGCAAAATTAAATTGCCCGTTTTGGCTCATCCACCAGAGCCATTATATTCGCTACTATATGGAAATTCAGCCGAATCAAACAGTTTCCTAAAGCTTGCACAAAAATATAACGGATGCTTTCAAATGACGTCATTTGGAGCCGAGGTTGTTCATCAACCAGGCTAAAATCCAAGTTATAAGGTAATGGCGTCTCTCTTTTATCAATATGAACAACTCCAATTTTTTTAAAATTGCATCCCAACATTCAGATTCAAGGACAAATTCACCACCGAGCGGGCGCTTTGTTACCACCACAAAACAAAGATCATAAATTCCTTCAGATCTTTTTCATTGGTGATTCGGCAATTGAACTAAATCACCGCTGTGCAATTTTTACTGCAACTTAACGTGAAATTATCGAACAATTGCAAAATCCTTTCCATGAGCATAATGAATTGGTCAGATTGTTCAAAACCGCATTGGATATAATGCATTATGATGAACACAAAATCATTATCAGCGCTGACAAAAGACCCACAGGTAGCCATGCAAGACAATTTGATGCTCCCACTATCAATGAAGTCGCAGTGGTGATTGTTGGCGAGAATGTGGAATCACGCGATATTGTTCTTAAGCGTCGGGATGATGGCCAATTGCAGCGAGTTTATGAGACTCATCGGTCATATGATGCTCTTCAATACCCGTTGATGTTCTGTCGTGGAGATGGTTATCACTTCAACATAAAGATGGTTAATCCAATGACAGGTTTGTTTACAAGCTATTACTTCTTTTTGATTCTATAACTAGGTTTGAATTAAAACTTTAGGAGAAGAAACGAATAAGAAGGTCAGCTCTATGAATTTTTATGCGTATCGATTGATGATTCGACTAGATGTTGACAATCATCTGTTAAGATACCGCCGTTTGTTTCAACAGTACTGTGTCGACATTGTTGGCTGAAGCCAGTTTTCGTTTTTTATTTTTTGAATTGTTAGAATAAGTATTGTTGAATTGAATTTGAAGTTTACTGTAAGTTAGTTTAGGGCGAAGGCGGGAGCGCAATAAAGCTTTTGTTCGCTCTCTGCGAGTTCGCTCCGTCTTCGCCAACCTTCGGTAAGCTAGGCTTAAGTATGATTGTGGAGAATAGAGCATTCGTAAAATTTGATTTGAGTCGAGCGCACGCATCTTTTCGTTTTCGTCGTTTGCCAATAAAATTATTAATTAGCCACCCAAGTTCGGAAAATTAAATATTTAGAAAAACGCTTCTAAATTTTCATGGCGCCCCCGGGTGGACAAATTAATTAATTAAATAAAAGGCAACAAATTTTTTAAAAGTGACAGTGACACAAATAACATAAAAATGCAAGTGATTTGTTCTTGTGTTTTTTTTTGATACAGAAAGTTGCACAGAAATCCAAAACTGCGTGTGAAATACAAAGTTGCCCGCGACGTGTGTTTTAAAGAAAATATTAAGCTCCAGTTATTAATTTAATCGTGCCGGTCGCGAAATTAAATACCTAATTCGACGTTTCTGCCACCGACGAGGGATGCCCTGCGATTGTTCGAGTTGCAAAAGGAAAGTGGCAGCTGGATTGAAAGATCCAAACGAAGAACCGAAGGTATTTGTGCAAAAAATTGAAAGCTGAGTTTTGACAAAAAACTAGAAATATTTGTTAATTGTCTAGTGCTGAAAAATTGCACCTCGCTTTCAATTCTTGGCACATATGTACAATATAGTAGAGCTAAATTGCATGCAAAATAAAATTAAAACAATTTTAATAATTTCAAAAAGTAGCAAAATATTAAAGGCATTATATATATATATATATATATATATATATATATATATATATATATATAAATACCTAATATATTTACAAGTGCTAAATTGATGTATACTATTTGAACCAATTTGGATGCAACTTTTTTTTAATTGTGTTAAATTATAGCAATCACTGTCGCCCTCCTTGTTTTTAATTATCGTTAAAACCTCGCAAGTTAATAGTTGGGAAGTTAATCTGAGCCGTTATACACAAATAAATAAGCCTTATATACAAGCACCTGCAGCGGTAAACTTTTTTTCGTTTTCGCTTTCGCTTGGTCGCCGCTAGCAGCGTTGTTGTTGGGTTCTTGTCATTTGGGCGCGCTACAGGTTAACGGACCGTCAAGTGACGCGCTACCCCGCATTCGGTTGGGTATATTGTTTTTCGCCGTCGTTTGCACCCACTATTAATTTTGATACTTCGTGTCTCGATATTCAATTTAAAAATTATTTTCGTTGTTTCTCACTTTTAAATAATTATTTAATAATAATATGTAATTATTTCATATTTTTTTTTTTCGAACAAATTTAATAATTTATAAATTATTATTTTTTTGTGGTTTAATTCGAAAATTAATTTCATTTAAATTTTTCACACTTGGTCCTTTAATAATTTACTTTAATAAATTTGGTTTTTGATAATTTAATTCAAAAATGAGCCAAGAAAAGCCAAAAAGTAACCTTCTTGAAGACTTGAAAGCCAAGTTACAAAATCGAGTTAAAAGCATTCGCCGATTAAGTGATCGACTCGATTCTGGCGCGATCGCGATTAAAGAAGAAGAATTAAAATGTAGATTAGATACTTTAAACGCTGCAATTAATAAGGCAAATCAATTGCAAGAAGAGATAGAAGATATAGATGATGGCGATGAATTTAGAGATGAGTTGGAGGAGCTATCAATTGTGACCAAGGCAAAATTAATGTCGCTTTTGTCGGCCTTGAAGACAGCAAGCGATCCAAAAATTTCCGGATCAGCTTCTGTAGCCCCAACTCGAGCTCGACTTCCGAATTTGGCCTTGCCAAAGTTCAGCGGCAAATATTCGGAGTTTAAAAATTTCATCAGCCTTTTTGAAACTCTCGTTCATCAAGACGACAGCATTCCAGTTATCGAGAAATTTAACCACCTAATTTCGTGTCTCTCCGGTGAAGCCTTAGGGACTATTAAGGCTTATCAAGTCACCGCGAGCAATTATGAGAAGGCTATGGCCAGCCTTAAAAAAGTCTACGATAACGAATGCTTGATTTTTATGAATAATATCTCCACATTGTTCACTCTTCCAAAAATTACGCACCAATCAGCGTCTTCCTTAAGAAGCCTTATTGATACCGTTTCATCAATTTATGGATCATTGCTATCGATAGGAGATGATACAAAAATATCCAATGCAATGTTGATTTATCTCGTCTTGAACAGAGTAGACCCAGTGACTAAACAAAAATGGGAAAAACAGCTCGATTATGAAACTTTGCCGCTTTGGTCCGATTGTGAGAAGATGTTGAATCGCCGATATCAGCATTTATCTGCTGAGGAAACATCAAAACCAAAGCAAGATAAAATAATTCCGATCAAACATAATCGAAGCTCGTTTTCGTGTTCTTCGACCAACTCTAAGTCCGTGCAAGGTTGTAGCTATTGCAATGCTGGAGACCATGTCCTAGCGAACTGCAGTCCGTTTGGTCGGCTGTCAGTAATGCAAGGTTCGATTTTGTTAAATCTGCTTCTTTGTGCATTAATTGTCTGCGAAAGGGTCATACGGTTTCCAAATGCAAGAGTAGTAAATGTCGAGTTTGTGGTCGCTCGCATCACGTTTTACTGCCCAGGTATACCGTCTCCGAGAATAGTTTAGCGTTGCCACCACCCCAAGAGAGTCTGTCTCCCTCTAAAAGTCAGGATCAGCCTTCCACGTCACATGTTATGCATGCGACATCATTGGACAGGGTGATTTTAGCCACGTCGATCGTAAGTGTCCGCACGAAAAGCGGTGAATACATTTTGGCTCGAGCCCTTCTTGACTCTGGGTCTCAAGCCAATTTCGTTACAGAAGACCTTGCTCGCCGCTTACAGATCCGTAAAGAGGAATCGTGTATCAACTTACTTGGTATTGGCGAATCCAATTCTCAAGTTAAGAAAAAGGTACACACAGTGGTGAAGTCGCGAATAAATGGTAGTGAATTTTCGTTCGATTTTTGGATTTTGAAATCGATATCCGGATATCATCCGGACCAGTCTGTGAATATCAGTGACTGGAAAATTCCAAAGAACGTACCATTAGCAGACCCCTATTTCTACAAGCCACAAAGAATAGATATGTTGATAGGAGCAGAATCATTTTTCGAGCTTTTAGCTGTTGGTCAAATTAAGCAAGGTCCTGACTATCCAACTCTTCAAAAGACCCTACTTGGATGGGTTGTTTCAGGCAGATACAAGGCGTCTGCCCCAAGAGATGTTGTAAATAGTTTCAGTTGTAGTGAAGAGCTATTAGTATCGATTGATAGCACGCTACAAAAGTTTTGGTCACTGGAAGAAATGCCATCTATAAAGAAAATTCTATCACCCGAGCATAAGTTGTGTGAAGAACACTATAGAAAGACCACTCAGGTTTTGCCATCAGGTCGGTTTGAAGTTAGATTGCCGTTTAAATCTGATCCCACTGGATTGGGCAACTCATTCGAGGTTGCAAAAAGGAGATTTCTGTCGCTCGAAAGAAGGTTGTCGCGAGATCCTGAATTAAAGAAAATGTATCTCGAATTCATGGAAGAATACCTCGCGTTAGGTCATATGTCTCCAACAGACAATAGAGTTCCTTTGACTCCACATTATGTTATTCCGCATCAGTGTGTCCTTAGGCCCCAGAGTACGTCTACTAAGTTGCGGGTCGTGTTTGACGCCTCTTGCAAAACGTCATCTCAGGTGTCCCTAAATGATATCTTGATGGTAGGCCCAACTATCCAAGATGAGTTATACTCCACACTGCTCCGCTTCCGGCTGCACAGGTTTGCTCTGACAGCCGATGTTAAAAAAATGTATCGTCAAGTAATGGTAAATGAAGCGGATAGGCCATTTCAACTCATAGTGTGGAGAAGAGACCCCTCAGAATCCTTGAGATTATACCAGCTCAACACCGTAACATATGGAACTGGTCCAGCTCCATATCTAGCGATTCGGTGTTTAAAAAGGTTGAGTGAATCTGCCAAACTTTCATTCCGTAGAGCTTCTGAAGTGATTGGATCCGACTTTTACGTCGATGATATGCTAACTGGTGCTGCATGCGTCGAGGAGCTCAGATCTATTAGGTCTGAAGTGTCTCAGGTTCTTCAAACCGCCGGGTTTGAATTGACAAAGTGGTTTTCGAACTCACCTGAGGTCACCGCATCTGAGAGCACAGTTAAATCCATACCGATCTCGGATTCAGAGTCGACGAAGGCGTTAGGCATATCGTGGTTGCCTAACGAAGATTCTTTCAAGTTTGAAATTGACAATTCCGTCATGGGTCTCAGAGCGACAAAGCCGAACATACTATCGGTGCCATCGAAGCTGTTCGACCCCCTCGGCTTGCTTAGTCCTATCGTAATCAGAGGAAAAATCCTATTGCAGGAACTCTGGCTGAACAAGTTGGATTGGGATGAGTCGATTCCTGTGCATTTGGAAACTGCGTGGAATAAATTGAAAAATACATTGTCTCGTTTGGAAGAGATAACAATTCCGCGGTATGTGCACACCGATCCGATGTCACCGGTTCAATTGCATGCCTTTGCCGACGCATCCATGAGAGCTTATGGAGCTTGCGTCTATATTCGTAGCAAAACTGCAGAAGGTATTAAACTGTCATTACTGACGTCAAAATCTAAAGTAGCGCCGCTCAAGACTAAAACGCTCCCAAGGCTTGAGTTATGTGCCGCTCACCTTCTCGCAGATCTCTGTCACAGAATCAAACCCCTATTAAAGGTCCCTATCGAACGAATAGTATATTGGTCGGACTCGGAAGTTACGTTGCATTGGATTCGATCCCATCCGTCTTCTTTGTCGATATTCGTCTCGAATAGGGTAGCGGAGATTCAGGAGTGGTCAGGAGAAGCTACGTGGCGGCATGTCCCAACTAAACAGAACCCAGCAGATATGGTATCAAGAGGATGTGACATAGAGGAAATTAGTGATTCAATCTGGTTTACTGGACCATCCTTTTTAAAGAATGAAGAAGAGACCTGGCCCAAAAATGCACATTTCGTTCTTGATGAAAAGGTCCTAATTGAAGAATCAAGGAAGACTGTGGTAACGATGGCCGCCACGGTACGGAAGTCGGAACTGGTAGATGTCATCGAGGGATTTTCGTCACACCTCAAGCTGCTTAGAGGGTTCGGTTACATGTTCCGCTTTATAAGGAAATGCAGAGACAAGAGTATAGTTTTTGAAAAAACTCTGTCTCCGAATGAGTACAACGAAGCCTTTTTAAAAATTGTCGAGACCATCCAGAAACACGAGTATCACGAAGTTCTAGAAAAAGTTCGGAAGAACTCCAGAGTTGGCCCAAGTCTTCAACGATTGAACCCATTCATTCATGAAGACTCAGGCACTTGGTGTAATTTTTCGTTGTTGCGAGTTGGGGGGCGATTAGCAAATGCTCCTATAACGTACGATGCCAAGTTTCCCCTGCTGTTGACAAAATGCTCCCAATTTGTACAGAGCTATGTCCGGCATTTGCATCTAACCAATTTTCATGTCGGGCCACGAGCACTTGTGAGTCTCCTTCGACAGCGTATTTGGATCGTAAACGCTCAGGAGGTCTGCAGTCAAATAGTTCGATCATGTATTCGCTGCTTTAAATGCAAGCCTCGACTAATGACACAAATTATGGGAAATTTACCCGCAGATCGTCTCCGTGCTCTCCGCCCATTTACTATCTGTGGCGTTGATTTTTGTGGCCCCGTCTATACGACATTGAAAATTCGTGGAAGGCCTCCTTATAAGTCCAACATAGCGCTTTTTGTGTGTTTTGCGTCCAAAGCGGTTCATTTAGAAATTGTGTCAGACTTAACCACTAACTCCTTCTTATTGGCTTTCCAAAGGTTCGTTGGGCGCCGAGGATGCCCTCGCACAGTCCATTGCGACAACGCGACGAACTTCGTAGGAGCCAGTCGCCACTTCCAAGGCCTTCGGGAGCGGATCGAAAAGGAGGCAGACGCCATACGCAAATTCGCATCAAAAAGCGGATGCGAGTTTGCGTTCACACCGCCTCGGGCTCCGCACATGGGCGGTCTTTGGGAGGCAGGTGTGAAGTCTGCCAAGAACCTACTCCTACGAGCGGTAGGCAGCGCGCTCCTAACCGCAGAGGAGCTGGAGACGGTGCTCGTCGGGATCGAGGCGGTGCTGAACTCCCGGCCGCTAGGCGCGCTATCCAACGATCCCAGCGACGGAGAAGCGCTAACACCAGGGCACCTGCTGACAGGCGGGCCACTATTCCCCATCCCAGCACTCCGGACCCCGGACCAGGCGGGTCTCAGTTGCTTGCGGCGATGGCAACTTGTCTCGTCAGCCAGGCAAATGTTCTGGCGGCGATGGTCCCTGGATTATGTGCTGGGCCTGTAAATTCGGGGCAAGTGGCACCAGGAGCAGCCCAACATCCAGGAAGGACAACTGGTCGTCGTCGCCGAGGACAACCTGCCGCCTCAACAATGGCTGATAGGGAGGATCATCGCCACTCACGCAGGAGAGGACGGCATGGTCAGGGTCGTCGAAGTGAGGACCAGCGGAGGAGGGATTTTTAAGCGGGCCATCCATAAATTGGCGCCGCTTCCAATATGTTGAAGCCGGACGGGCCTTCAACGGGGCCGGTGTTGGCTGAAGCCAGTTTTCGTTTTTTATTTTTTGAATTGTTAGAATAAGTATTGTTGAATTGAATTTGAAGTTTACTGTAAGTTAGTTTAGGGCGAAGGCGGGAGCGCAATAAAGCTTTTGTTCGCTCTCTGCGAGTTCGCTCCGTCTTCGCCAACCTTCGGTAAGCTAGGCTTAAGTATGATTGTGGAGAATAGAGCATTCGTAAAATTTGATTTGAGTCGAGCGCACGCATCTTTTCGTTTTCGTCGTTTGCCAATAAAATTATTAATTAACCACCCAAGTTCGGAAAATTAAATATTTAGAAAAACCCTTCAGATCTTTTTCATTGGTGATTCGGCAATTGAACTAAATCACCGCTGTGCAATTTTTACTGCAACTTAACGTGAAATTATCGAACAATTGCAAAATCCTTTCCATGAGCATAATGAATTGGTCAGATTGTTCAAAACCGCATTGGATATAATGCATTATGACGAACACAAAATCATTATCAGCGCTGACAAAAGACCCACAGGTAGCCATGCAAGACAATTTGATGCTCCCACTATCAATGAAGTCGCAGTGGTGATTGTTGGCGAGAATGTGGAATCACGCGATATTGTTCTTAAGCGTCGGGATGATGGCCAATTGCAGCGAGTTTATGAGACTCATCGGTCATATGATGCTCTTCAATACCCGTTGATGTTCTGTCGTGGAGAAGATGGTTATCACTTCAACATAAAGATGGTTAATCCAATGACAGGTTTGTTTACAAGTTATCACTTCTTTTTGATTCTATAACTAGGTTTGAATTAAAACTTTAGGAGAAGAAACGAATAAGAAGGTCAGCTCTATGAATTTTTATGCGTATCGATTGATAGTTCGACTAGATGTTGACAATCATCTGTTAAGATACCGCCGTTTGTTTCAACAGTACTGTGTCGACATGTACGTCAAAGTAGAAACGGAACGTCTCAATTTTATTCGTTTTAATCAGTCGAAGTTGCGCTCAGACGAGTACATCCACTTGCGTGACGCCATCGCTACTGAAGGACACGCGGCCAACATCGGTTGTTTGACCATTCTCCCAGCTTCTTATGTTGGAAGCCCGCGCCATATGCATGAGTATGCTCAAGATGCGATGACGTATGTCCGGAATTACGGGCGCCCGGATTTATTCATCACGTTCACGTGCACTCCGAAATGGCCCGAAATTACCAATCTGTTGCTTCCAGGACAAGCATCCAGTGATCGACCGGACATGGACTGCACGAGTATTCAAGCAAAAGATCACAGTACTTATGGATTACATTGTGAAGCAGAAGGTTTTCGGCGCAGTTCGTTGTTGGATGTACTCGGTTGAGTGGCAGAAGCGTGGTTTACCACATGCGCACATTCTGCTCTGGATGTTCGACAAGATCAGACCAGATCATATTGATTCGATTATTTCAGCTGAAATACCAGATAAACAAACTGATCCCGAGCTGTATTCCATTGTGACAACGAGCATGATCCATGGCCCTTGCGGTGTCCACAACCCAGAATCAGTATGCATGGAAAACGGAAACTGCACAAAACGATTTCCCCGTCCGTTTACGGCTGAAACAATCAGTGGAAACGATGGATATCCATTGTATAGGCGTCGTTCTCCAGATGATAACGGCAAATGGATCGAACTAATGGTGAAACGTAACGAAACAAACGTAACAGTAATCGTGGATAACCGCTGGATCGTTCCATATTTCCCGCTGTTGGGTCAATGAGCTTTTTCAAAGAACATTCCCTTAACGGTGCACAAATAAAATAATAACGCACAAATTTCGAACTAAAATGCACTCATTTATTATTTGGCACCAAGGCCTTAATTATACAAAGTTATTGTTTGTTAGCTTTGGTTAGGCAGGCAGACCGAATTGTCTGTGCCTTTTGCAGTGAAAAGATATGTTGGGCAGGAAGACCGATTTGTCTGTGCCTTTAGCGAAAGTATATATAGGCGCGAGCAAGCGATCAGCGGCGTTCGTGCCTTCTTGTATCCGAGTACGAATTGAATTACATGAAGCTTGCCGTGGACGAAGGGCCAGGCAGCGATAAGCGAAAAGTGCAAAAAAGGTAGTTAGCAATGACAATTAAATCAGTGTTGCCGCGCAGGGCAAATAGCAAAACAAAAGGCAAACATCGAGAAAGTAGTTATACGTTACGATTTGAAATTAGTTATTTTATTTAGTTTGCGGCATGACCGAACATTCTCCCTCCGTTGGAAGACCAAGGCTTTCAACCAGATCCTGCTTCGGCAGCACGCACAGTTTGCGGACAGCTCTTCGAGTGACTCCAGTTGAAGTTCGTATCACTGCCACCCGAGCAACTCCATCGGATCCAGGCACCAATTCCATGACTCTGGCTAATGGCCACTTAAGCGGAGGCAAATTCTCATTCTGGACCAAGACGACATCGTTGATTTGCAGCGCAGGTTTGGGAGTGCGCCACTTTGACCGTTGCTGTAACAGGGTCAAGTACTCTTCACGCCACCGTGACCAGAAAATTTGTTGGAAGTAGGAAATTCTCTGCCAGCGGTCCAAGCGGTTGAAGTTCAGCTTTGTGACGTCAGGCTCTGAGTACAACACCAGAGGAACTGTGCCAAGAAAGTGTGCAGGAGTTAGCGCCTCAAGATCTGCCGGATTCTCTGAAAGAGGAAGTAAAGGTCGTGAGTTTACAATCGCCGCAATGTGGCAAACGAGAGTACGCAATGCATCGAACGATAATAACGATGGGCCAACAGAACGGTAGAAATGAAATTTGGCCGTTTTTACTGCAGCCTCCCAGAGACCTCCAAAGTGAGGTGAACGAGGGGGAATAAAACGCCACTCAATCGAATCTTCCAGGCAGAATTCTTCAATCGCTCGAATGTGGGGGCTCGATAAGAACAGATTCTTCAGCTCAGCTAGCTCGTTCTTGGCTCCAACGAAGTTCGTGGCATTATCCGACCATATTCGGACAGGTTTGCCTCTGGTAAGAATAAACCGCTTCAGTGCTCCCAAAAATGCTTGTGTCGAAAGATCCTGGACAAGCTCCAGATGGATCGCTTTCGTCGCGAAACAGATGAAGACGCAGACGTATGTTTTCACAGGCACCTTGCTTCGAACTCCGGTTTTGTAATAAAATGGACCGCAGAAGTCCAGACCAATAACCATGAACGTAGACGTAGCGTTTACGCGATCCTTGGGCAAGTCAGCCATTATGTGTTGAGAAAGCTGTGGCTTGGCACGAAAGCATATGACGCATTTTGAAGTTGCAGCTGACACTGTTTTCCGGCCACCTATCGGCCAAAACTGAAGGCGCATGTGAGCGAGCAGAGCTCGTGGACCAGAATGCAAGTTCCTCCGATGCAAGTCCAGTATAATGGCACGTGTAACTGGATGCTTGCGTGGCAGTATGACAGGATGCTGCGCATTGTAATCCAAGGACGAATTCTGTAGACGGCCACCAACTCGCATCAGACCGAAGCTATCGATGAATGGCAAAAGAGAGGACAACGGGCTGGATGATGAAATTTGCTGCTTAGAATGCACTCTCCAGTAGTCATCAGCCAGGTTGCTTATCTGGATACATCTGATGAGCATCTGAGTGCCCATTTTGACATCTTCGACGGCAAGACCAGGACGTCTTATACGGTGTGCAAATTTGTATACATATCCAAAGGTGTGGGTCATCTTTTGCCAGGAATTCAAAAACTTGCATTTTAAAGTCAGATCCAATTCGGTAGCGACGCCAACCAAAATGCGCTTTCTGAGCTCGGGCAGAGTCTTCACAGGCAAACAAGATTCAGGCCAATCGTGCTGATTCTTGAGAAGAAACGCTGGGCCTCTGAACCAAAGGGCAGATTCCAGAAGCTCAGTCGGGGAAGCACCTCTTGACAAGATGTCGGCTGGATTGCAGTCAGTCGGTACATAGCGCCAATTCATGCCACTGGATAGCTCTTGAATTAAAGAAATTCGATTAGCAATAAATATTTGGAAACGTGAAGGTTCATCGCTTATCCATGATAAAGCTACAGCGGAATCCGACCAGCAATAAAACGGGCAATCGAAGAGATCCATGTTGCGTACGTCCCGCATCAGCTGGGCCAGTAACACGGCAGCGCACAGCTCCAATTTAGGAACTGTGAGAGTCTTCAAAGGTGCTACACGAGACTTTGAACAAAACAGATGCACTTCTCGCTTGCCCTCAGCTATTGAAACGAGATAAATGCATCCACCGTAGGCGTCGATGCTGGCGTCACAGAATCCGTGAATCTCAATAGCACCATTTGGATGCAGCGCACGTCGAGGAAACTTCATTTGCTGGGTACGACTCATGTCGGATGACAACTTCAGCCACGATGAGTTGAGTGCCTCAGGAAAGCTCTCATCCCACTCCAACTTTTCTCTCCAGACTTGTTGCTGGAAGATTTTGGCCTTGGCAACTACAGGACCAATGAGACCAAGAGGATCGTAAATCCGAGCAATTGTGGACAGCACCAGTCGTTTACAAGGCTTTGGAGAGACCTGTATGGGAGAAAAAGAGAAACGAAACACATCCGCTGCAGGGTCCCAAGCAAGACCCAGTGCCTTGGTAAAGTCGCTGCCATCGTCGAACTTCAGGAATGTTTCCTTTTCCGAGTCAGCAATCTGATCAAGGACATCGCGGTCGTTGGAACACCATTTCCGGAGTTTGAAACCACCTCGTGACAGCAAGTTGGTGGTTTGAGACATGACTTCGAGGACCTCCTGTGCTGATTTTCCTCCTGTGATCAAATCGTCAACGTAGAAGTCTCGCAAGATGGTTTTGGAGCCGATTGGAAATGAACTCTTCTCATCACTCGCCAATTGATGCATCGTTCGAAGGGATAAAAAGGCTGCAGGCTTGGTTCCATAAGTCACGGTATCCAGCTTGAATACCTGCACCTCCTGGTCCAGTGAGTCACGCCAAAGAATACATTGGAAGTAGCTATCGGGTTCAGCCACGCGAACACACCGATACATCTTGCAGACGTCACCAGTCAATGCAACAGGGAAAGTCCGAAACTGTAACAGCGTGTTGAACAGCTTTTGTTGAATGGTAGGCCCTCCCATTAAAACCTCGTTCAGCGAGTATCCACTACGTTTTGGCAGACCCATCAAAAACGACTCGCAATTTAGTCGTGGTGCTATCTTCCTTGAAAACGCAGTGGTTTGGCAGAAAATATTTGCAAAGACTCAAGGAGTCTTTGGGCACAAGAGACATGTGGTTTAAATCCAGATATTCGCGAATGAATGCCGAATATTGGACCTTGACATCTGGCTTGCGCTGTAGCTTGTTCTCTAAATTGAGAAAGCGACGATAGGCTTGATTGTAAGATTCACCCAGCAATTCTAAAGTGTTCTTTGCAGGCAATTTTACGGAATATTCACCTGAGTCCAAGCGACGAAAATTGGTCATGAAATGAGCCTCACACTCTAGTTCTTCTTTGGTGGCTGTGACCACGCCATCTCCACAACTCTCAACCTCCCAGAAGCGACGAACTAGCTCATCCATACGACCTTCGGCAGCAACCAATTCACGCTGGACAGCTTGACCCTGCAACGCAGTTGCCTTGATTGAGGAAGATCCTCCTCCGGTTACGATCCAACCAAGTCTCGTTTTCTGCAATAGGGGTAACCCAGCAGCTAACTTAATCTGCCCTACGGATAATAGTTCAAAGAACATGCTTGCTCCAATCAAAAGATCAATACGCTGAGACTTATAAAATTCAGGATCGGCCAACTGAATATTAGACGGAATTTTCTGCGAATTGCCGGACCCTTTCGCTTACCCATTTCGCGATTCAATCTTATTTTTGCAGATATGACCAGCTCCTCAAAGTCATCTCGAACCATGCTTCCGATTTCGTCAAAGTCCAGCTCCTCAAGTCTGTCATGGATCTGAAGAAATGCGGTCTTGCTCTCGTCCAGGGCTTGAACACGAAGTTGCAGTTCTTCCTCGGTCATATTCTGAAGCATCTCGTTGGTCAGGGTCTTCTCGAAGGCTTTAGCTTTCGAAAGCATTGAGCCAGCCTTCAATTTATAAAATTTTGCTCCCGCAACTGGAGCAGCAACCGCTGTGTCCGTTGACATGTTGTTTGTATGGGGTTTTATAACTTTAAAAATTAGTCACTTGCAAACTGATATAGTCCCACTGTGCACAGATTAGCGCCAAAATTGTGCGTCTATTTGAATATATATATATAGATATATATATAGGCACTGAACCCGCGAACAAAAACGTTTGTCGCCGCTGTAAAAACGTTTAAAGCGGGAACGACGGCACAAAGAGGACACGAAAATTCACTTGCGATGCGCGGGGGCGGGTGTGTGCAAGGGTCTAGGTTACAGCTTGCGCTTATGTGCACAGAGCAACGAAACTATGTATAGGCGCGATCACCAACTTTAAACCGAACGAAAATAATAAGATTATTTGTTCGATTTTCGAATTTCTATTGTTTAACGATTACGTCGGGGTCACCAAAATGTTGGGTCAATGAGCTTTTTCAAAGACCATTCCCTTAACGGTGCACAAATAAAATAATAACGCACAAATTTCGAACTAAAATGCACTCATTTATTATTTGGCACCAAGGCCTTAATTATACAAAGTTATTGTTTGTTAGCTTTGGTTAGGCAGGCAGACCGAATTGTCTGTGCCTTTTGCAGCGGAAAGATATGTTGGGCAGGCAGACCGATTTGTCTGTGCCTTTAGCGAAAGTATATATAGGCGCGAGCAAGCGATCAGCGGCGTTAGTGCCTTCTTGTATCCGAGTACGAATTGAATTACATGAAGCTTGCCGTGGACGAAGGGCCAGGCAGCGATAAGCGAAAAGTGCAAAAAAGGTAGTTAGCAATGACAATTAAATCAGTGTTGCCGCGCAGGGCAAATAGCAAAACAAAAGGCAAACATCGAGAAAGTAGTTATACGTTACGATTTGAAATTAGTTATTTTATTTAGTTTGCGGCATGACCGAACACCCGCTTTTATCGAAAACGTTCTCAACGCATTGCAATGTTGAGTACTGCAACTCTATCAAATCCATCAAATACGTTTGCAAATATGTGAACAAAAGGCGCGACATGGCGGTGTTCGGCATTGCTGATCCGAATGCAAACGACGAGGTGACGAAATTTCAACTTGGACGCTACGTTAGTTGTAACGAGGCCATTTGGCGGATATTTTCATTTCCGATTCATGAACGTCACCCGACTGTCGTGCACTTATCTGTTCACTTGGAGAACGGCCAGCGTGTCTACTTTACGGAAGTGAACGCAGCGCAAAGAGCAGAACGGCCACCAGCGACAACGTTGACAAATTTCTTTTCGACATGCGAAAGCGATCCGTTCGCAAGGACTTTACTCTATTCTGAGATGCCACGCTATTATACATGGAACGCTGCATCGAAGAAGTTTCAGCGCCGGAAGAGAGGTGATACTGTTGCTGGCTTCGCTGATTTCTATTCGACAGATGCGCTCGGACGAATATACACAGTTCATCCACGTCAAGATGAATGCTTCTATCTTCGCTTGCTTTTGGTGAACATTAGAGGCCCAACATCCTTCGAGTCGCTGCGTACTGTGGATGGTGTGCTGTGCGCCACTTTTCGGGAGGCTTGCCAACGTTTGAAATTGCTCAAAAACGACGCTCATTGGGACTCAACGATCGCCGATGCCACGGTTTCTGCGTCAATGAATCAAATCCACACATTATTCGCAACAATCATAGCTATGTGTCATCCGTCGAACCCGACCGCATTGTGGGACAAATACAAGGACCAAATGGTGGACGATATTTTGAACAGAGTACGCAGGACAAGTTCTAATTTTAATCTTGGCATTAACGAAGATATGTACAACGAAGCATTAGTACGGATCGAAGACATGTGCATGCTCATGTGCGGCAGTCTACTATCGACATTGGGAATGCCAGCGCCAAATCGTTCAGTGTACGATACTTTCAATCGCGAATTTCAACGGGAGCAACACTACAATCACAATAACCTGGCCGAAAGAGTTCGAACAAATGTGCCGCTTTTGAATGCCGAGCAGAAGAAAGTGTACGATTCGATAATGAAGGTTGTTGACGATGAAACGGGAGGCTTATACTTTATCGAAGGCGCAGGAGGCGGGAGTAAGCCAGTCATTGCGAGATGAGATACGCCAAGGTTTCCTCGAGATGATGAAGCTCTTAAATGAGGCTCTCAGGCCAGCAGATCCACGGCCGTCGCCCGCGGCCAGAGAGCAGACAGATCGGCAACAACTGCCAGCAGCAGCTGAATCCAAATGGGCGTCGTATCAGAGGCAGGGGACCATCCCGAAGGGAAGCAGACCATGTCGGCCACCGCCGAAGCCCCAGCGAAGGATGGACGCATCATCGGATTGGGCCAACAGCAGTCCAGGTTTTCCTCCCGAGGCCGAGCAGCTCAGACGGCAGGATGGATATGGCCGAACCTGGCGCGTGGAAGACCACAGAGCTGGCGAGTTTACCACGCCAAAAACATCCGGCTGTAAGATGAAAAGGATACACAAAGGATACGAGCGCACAGAGATAGATCTATATACTTCAAGCGTGGGCCCCGCGTAGGGCGCCGTACGAACTTCTCGGATTCCTGGTCTCCTCCACAGCTACCAAGCATTTCATCGTTCCGCCAAACCTCGTTGTAGCACCTCTCGAAATCCTTGGTTGATGTTGCAGTTGGAGACGATTCCAGGAGGAGCTATCGATAGGTTAGTTCAGGTAGTTATGATTAGGGCAGCGCCACCTTTTGGGTTATGGGCGAATCATCTAACATGTAAAATGTTAGCATGTAATCTCGGCTTAGGGGATTCTCTTAGATGGCCTTGGAGACGTCCATTGACCCATCGTCGAAAGAGCCTAAGAAAGATGGTAGGATGGTAATATGGCGTGATAAAACGGATCACCGGTTAGTAGTGCCCGGAGAGTAAAGAAGTAATTGTGTGTAAATTCGTTGAAGTGAGTTAGTTTTTTGTCTTGGTTAATTTTTGAAAATGTAAAATATCATTTTTTTTTGTTTAGTGAAACCGGGGTGCCGATATAAGGGGCCTCGGGATTTATTACTGGAGAGGACACGAATTGTTTTTTTGAGGAACAAAAATTTCTTTGGAAGACATCCACATGTTTTTTTGAAGAAACACAAATATATTTTGCTGGAGGAAACCCACATTTTTTGAGGAACCAAAATTTCTTTAGGAATTCATATTTTTTCGTTGAAGACGATATAACCTTTTTTGAAGATTGCCATATTGTGGAAAATCCACATTTTTTTGAGCAACACGTTTAACTTTTGAAGAACACCATATTTCTGGAGGAGGCACCAATCGTTTATTGGAAAATATAGTATTTCTGGAGGAGGCACAATTTGTTTCAAGGAGAATATACATACATTCGGAGGAGAACCAATTTTGGATGTTCTCCAATTGGCTTACATAGGCTTACATAACCCGCCATCAACGACCAAATCCTCGCTACCCGCTAGAGATCTCCGGTGAGTCCATTCCGTGTTGGGGTGCTTCCAAATTAGTGGCCAATTTCCGTCGCGTGCGGTTGGAGCCACGAGGTTGGCCAGCCAGTCTATATACGCCTCCAAGTTTCTTGTGGTGCGATAATCTGGTGGGCTGGGCCCAGCCACCACTTCCTGAAACTGAGAAAAAAAAATTTATGAGATGTATAGTCATTAAGAATTAAAATACCTGATTGTCCAATTTAGTTGTGAATTAGTTCAAAGCTTATCACTTGATCGGCAGTTTGCTAAAAAGGAAAGGTCGCGATTATTTAAGATGAAGGATTTGTTTGTGTAAATCTCCCATACCTTTCGGCGTCCTTTCTATTCCCACGGAGCTCCTTAGGATTAGGTGACCAAACAACTCAGCCGTATTAGTAAAGTGAGTTCTGCCAATACAAGGGGGCAGAACATTTTTGTCGGTGAGTGTCCATTCCTTGTTCTTAAATTTAGCTTTGACCGCTAAATATATTTATCCGGCGGTTGATTGACGATTCCGAGGCCTAATAAACAAATAGATTTTTGATGAAACTTATTAGAGGTGAAATGTTAAATATACATGAACTTACCTGAAGTATTAAGGGTGTTGGGTCAGTAAGCTTTTTTACTAACCATTACCTTTGGCGGTGCCCAAGTAAATAAACCGTACAAATTTCGCTTAAATAATGCACTTATTTATTAACTGGCACCAAGGCCTTAAATTTACAGAGTTATTGTTTATGTAGGTTTGAATTAGGAATTAGGCAGGCAGACCGATTTGTCTGTGCCTTTTAAATAGCCGAAAGTATGATGGGCAGGCAGACCGATTTGTCTGTGCTTTAGACGAAAGTATATAAGCCGAGAGTTGGCAGGCGATCAGCGATCGTGCCTTGTGCAAGCGAGTACCAAAATCGAACTGGGCTGAAGCTTGCCGTGGACTAAGGCCAGGAAGCGATAAGCGAAAGAGTGCAAAAGTAGTTAGAAATGACAATTAGAACAGTGTTGCCGCGCAGGGCAAATAGCAAAATAAAAGGCAAACATCGAGAATTTGAATTACGTTAGGATTTTAATTTAGTGATTGGATTTAGGCTGCGGCATGACCAAACAAAGGGGTTACATGAGTTTCCTCGGGTAAAAAACGGCCTTTTTTCAAACATTTTTTTTGCATATAAAAAATGAAATATTTCAATTAAACTTTTTATTATTTAAAAGATACATATTTAATAAAGATTTTGTGAAATTTTCAAAAAAAAAAAATATCAAAATGTCGGCCATTACGACGCCATTTCCGGCAGTCCCTCGGAGAAAAGGTGCCTCCGCGTTGTCAGCAGAACTTCTTTCAGGATCATCTAAAGTAAAAAAAAAAAAAACGTGTTTCAGTATAGACAATAAACTAGGTATTGGACGAAGAAAAAAAAAAAAATGAAAATTGGATTTTTGGCAGACGTTTTTACAAAAAAATGCAAATTTCGATGAAAATTTCTCGACATTTTTTTTTTAAATAGTTGTAATTGAAAAAAAAAAAATCCTTCGTTCAATACCTTGTAAATGATATCTCGAATACTTGTGTAAAATTTCATTAAGATCGGTTGAGTAGTTCGCGAGAAATTTTGACAACCGACTTTGAAAACATAGTTTTGAGAAAAACGCGTTTAAAGTTTTAAGAGACAATAAAAGTGATCTCAAGCGTCCACCTTCTCAAGGCTGTATCTCCGAGACTATTACTCGGATCAACTTGAAAATGTAAGACAATATTCTAGAAATGTTATAGAATTTAATAAGACAAAAAAAAAAATCGATTTTTTGAAACCGTGAAACCCATGTAACCCCTTAAAGACCAGTTTATAATGATGATGAATTGCTAGACCTTTTTCTGTGGGGGAGATGGAGTTAAGTTAGTTGCATGGAGTGACTTGTTGACCCATTATGGATGATGCGTGGATAATACTTACCAGGCATCCTAGGTTGGGTGGGTACGCAGTGGCCAAGAACACCGATGGCCACCAAAGATCCAAATTTCCGCCGCCTTGTATTTGAATGTTTACGTTTTTTTGGTTGTTTACATTTTGTTAGTGGTCGCAGAGAGTTAGTATTGTGAGACGACCGTAATCGATGTTTGTATTTTATGTTGTCGGACTGCGGGCATTGGGGAGAACTTGGCCCAAATGAGATCGCTGAGCTAGCGGCGCTGCCCGCGAAGGAAGCAGTTCGTAACACATATAGCTGCCATATGAACAATAGTCGAAAACATAGATAATATTTGATGACTACAAGGGTATATAAGCTTCGGCTTGCCGATATAAGCTCGCTTCTTTTGTTGTTTTTTTATACAGTGACTCGCAGCTTATTTCGTGCAGTCACCTAAAAAAAGTTCAAATCGTTATTCCTGCTAAACTAAGAAAGATATCAGAAAAATTTAAATGCAGTATTTTAATATGGAATATTAACTTATTTATTGAACGAAAACGATTTTCTTTTTTCACAGGAGCACATACTTTCACCGATTTTGTTTTGGGATGACTTTATTTTTGGTGACTAGTCAAAATGTGACATTTTTGGTTCAGATGGACGACAGTTTGTGTGGCGGCGACCAAATACAGAGTTGGAAAATAAGCACCTGAAACCTACGGTCAAACATGGCGGGGGTCACGTCATTGTTTGGGCCTGTATGGCATCCTCTGGCGTGGACAACCTCATTTTCATTGATGGCATCATGGATGCCACAATGTACCTTAACATTTTAACGGATAACCTACTCCAAACTGGTGAAAAACTGGGCAAACGCGATCGTTTTCGATTTTACGAAGACAACGATCCGAAGCATTCAGCAGGAATTGTGAAGTCTTGGGTATCTGGAACTGCCCTCATGTCGTTATAACGACAGCACAGTCTCCAGATTTAAATGTGATCGAAAATTTATGGGATATATTGGAAACAGCTATAAGGAAGAGGAAGTTTTTGCCAAAAACGATCTGAAAACTGTTCTTATGGAAGAATGGCTAAAAATTCCAGTGGAAACCACTAAAAAGTTAGTTTGCTCCATGGAAAATCGTCTCAAAGCTGTCCTGAACCAGAAAGAAGGACATACAAAATTGTAGCTGTTAAATTACTAATAATAAGTTAAGTAGAATCTGCTGCACGAAATAAACTGCGGCATGGAAAAAGCCTCTAAACACGAAAAATGCCAATTTGCAGGGTTGTAGGACAAAAATAATTTTTTTATTTTTATGATTAAGAAAATCGATTTCGTTCAATAAATAAGTTAATATTCCATATTAAAATACTGCATTTACATTTTTCTGATATCTTTCTTAGTTTAGCAGGAATAACGATTTTAACTTTTTTTAAGTAACTGCACGAAATAAGCTGCGAGCCACTGTAGATCGATGTGTGAATGAAAATGCAGGGTAAATTTTGTCTGGCTCCATTCTTCTAATAAACACTGGTTAAATAGCATATATGACATCAAAGAGAATAATTACACAAATACAAACCAGTGGAAATACGAAATCTAAATTATTTTGTCATGTTTACTGTATCACCATATTATCTTCACCAAGTAGTTTTTTTTTGTTATTGGAGCTGGGAAACTAGCGATTTTCGATATTTTTGGCGTTTCAGAGCGAAATATTGATTGTATATTTGTTTGCAATATGCTTTATAAATCTATCACTATGATATTTAAAATATCAGGAACTTAAACAAAATTCAAAAATTGACTGAGTAATAAAAAAATATTATTCTGTCCATGCATTTCTTTGCAAAATAGCAATTTGTCTACATTGTTCGCCTTGTATTAAAAGATTAGCCTTGCTGAAAATACGCACAGACTCTGAAGGTGTGGCTGGAACCAGTGATGTGGAAAATGCCCAGCACCATCGCCCATACCACATTGATGGTGGTTCCGAAAGGTGAAAATTCGATACTTCGAACGTGTCATCGATATTTTCCCAGTTCTAGTTGTTATGTCATAAAGCCAACTGTGATCTAAATTAAAAATTAAAAATGAAAGCGGCTCAAAAAGCGATTAGATGGTTCACGAATATGAGTTTAAATATAAGGCCTATCGCATTGACTCGATCACATTTTACCTACTATCCCTCTGTTTTAGGAACTGGAGTAAAAATGAATATGTTCAACGCCATAAATAATGCATTGGACTTGGCCCTAAGCGTTGACAAATCGGCATTGTTGTTTGGCGAGGATGTTGGTTTCGGTGGAGTATTTCGGTTAGTAAAACTAGCAAACTTTATCAAACAGTAACAAATTTTTTTTATTAAATAGGTGTTCAGTTAATCTTCGTGAAAAATATGGTAAAGAGCGTGTTTTTAATTCTCCGCTATGTGAGCAAGGCATCGCAGGGTATGTACATTACATGTATTTTAAGTGACCATCGCCGCTGTTTATTGCTTTAGAAACTTTATAGAAAAATCAACATATGTAGCTTCGATGTTTATTTTTTTTCGACATATTTGAGGTCTGCAAGGGTGTAAATGCATGTGATGTGCCGATTATTGCAGCCGTCTGGTGGCGGATTATTGCAAATATGTATGTACGTTCACTCAGATCCGAATTTGTACTACAAATTGAATTGAATCTTTAATTGTTAATAACAAAAAAACGGTGCAAAATTTTCACTCTCCGCCAACGGATTTCGAAGTTTTAGAAAAAAAACACATCGTTTCCATACTTTACTAAATTTTTTTAAGCTGTATTTACCGTGCACCGCACTTGTAAACAATTACCATATTTTGAGTAATTGGCCCAAAATAAATACTTTTTATTAAACAAAATTTTTTGATATCTCGCACCGTTTACGAGATATCGAGCCTTAAATATCGGCTTATAGTGCGGCCGTTACACTGGGAAAAAAAATTTTTTTTAAAGAAATTAACTCAAAGTGCGCGCGCACTTATGCATTGATACATATGCTATATTATTTTTTGAGGTAATTGTTATAAAAAAACTAAGCTAAAAACTGAAAATTGGCCAAAATTTTATTTTTATAAAAATTATCTCAAAAAAGAATATAGCATATGTATCAATGCATAAGTGCGCGCGCTAAAAACTGAACAAATAAATTTAAGTGTTCGTCTTCGACCGAAAGTACCGCAAATCTTGAAAGTTCCACGAAAAATATGTGCAATAAGTAATTTCGCCTGCTACCAGCCCTCACTATAATCCGTAATTTAGGGCTCGATTTCTCGTAAGCGGTGCGAGAAATCGAAAAATTTTATTTAGTAAAAGTGTTTATTTTGGGCCAATTACCCAAAATATGTCCTCAAATCTTGGCGCCCCGGAAACTAAAATCTCCCCCATTAACGTACATACATATATCATTTACATTTTTTATTTATTTTGTATGTTTACATATACCCTTGCAGAGGGTATTGTAATATCAATCAGAAGCTTGCAACGCAGAGAAGGAGACACATTAGACCCCATAAAGTATTTATATTCTTGATCAGCATCACGATCAGAATCAAAATACGTCTGTCCGTTTGTCCGTCTGTCCCCCTGTCGGTTTCTATGTAAACTAGTCTCTCAGTTTTAAAACTATCTTTATGAAAATTCACCAAATTTTGTGTAGTTATTGCACGCAGTATACAGTGTGCGCCATATATTATGGACCGATTTAAACATTGAAAACCTTTAAAGAAAAACAAAACAAACATATTTTTGAGAATCATTTAACATCGATAAATACAATTCATTTAGACCAATTTAAAAAACAATATCAATTAAAGGCCACCTTGATTGGCCACGGCAAATTATGCTCTTTTTGTCGCATTTTTCATCACTCTCGAGCATATCGGTCGGTATGGCCTTCATTTCGGCACGGATGCTGTCGTTTAGCTCGTCGAGGGTTTGAGGATTATAGGCATAAACTTTGCTTTTCATATAACCCCACAGAAAGAAGTCTGGAGGAGTTAAATCAACAGATCTGGGTGGCCAGTCGATATCGCCATTTTCGACATTAAACGTCCAGAGAAATCTCGTTGCAAATAACCCATTGTATCATTTGCAGTGTGATATGGAGCGCCATCTTGTTGGAACCAAAAGTCTTCCATACCATTTTGACGAATAATCAGTCATGAAAATTTGATTCCAAAATTTAGTATTGCCTGCGACGTTGATTATCCCTGGGCAAAAGTTTTTGTGTTACTTGCACTTTATACATTTTAAAGAATGATATACATTTGTATCATTCTTTAAAATGCATCGCAAAGTGGTTCCACTAACATTGAATTGCTCAGCACGGTGTCGATACGACTCTCCTGGGCTTTCGGCAACATTCTCTCACTGCCTCAACCAAATCAGCTGAGCATCTTCGACGTTCATAAATTGCATGTGGACGGTCTGCCACAGTAACAAATTTAGAAAAATTGGCCATAAGACGATAAATAGTGTCTTTTTTGGAGCAAAACGCAACGATATTTTTGAAGATTGACCGTTCAGTTAACACAATTGACTTGTTATTTTCAATATAGATTTGCACTATTTTAGCGCGTTGTTTCAGTGTGTACCGAACCATAGCACAGTGGATGTTATAAAAATGGGACATATCGTACGTCTATATAATATAGCTGCTATAGGAACGATCGTTTATTAATAAAAACTAGTATGCAAATTTTGTTTATTTATTGAGGTATATTATCTAAACTCACAGACTATAAGATCGGTGTAGTTTTACATATGCTTAGCCAATTTTATTGAAATCGGACATAGGAAAGATCAACTATTTTGGGTTTTTATTATATTTCAGTTAAATCTTATACTTTTAAAACTCTTTCCCCATCTAATCCCCAAGCTATACACCTACTAAAATAATATCATATCAAAAAATCATAAATTAAACAATCATGTTGTAAACCAATTTATTAAGTTGATATTTCCACAGCCATCAACGAAATAATATAAATATAACAAAAATGTATAATGTTTCTTCTAATAAAGTGAACACAGATGCAAGTAACGTTGATTTATCCTTCTTTCCATGTTTTCTTTGTCCAGTTATAAATGGGTCCGACCGTAAAATGAGTGTGTTCAATATGTCTGTGTTTGTTGCAATGCGTGAAATTTTTCGGCTGTGATACAGAATAAATTTTTTTAGTTCCTTATTATTCGACTCAGCAGCTTCCTCCGAAAGCTCTCCGATTGATACGAGTGCATGCTCAATCACAGAAGATCCATGAACTAACACCTTATGGACTGTAGCTGGCAAATAGTACCATGGATACTCCTTTATCAATTCCTTAGCAGTATCGATGGCATATTCATTAAATTTTTCCAAATTTATTTTGTACCCCGAGGCGATAGCTTGAAGTAGTGTGGCAAAACGCTGGATAAGGTTTTCATTAAGCCCTGTGATTTCAGAAGCCAATTTGGGATTTGAGAAAAACTTTCGAGCCACATTTCCATCGTTGGACGATCCTCTACGTCTCTGGGTTTGTCCACTATTATTCCCATTTTTTCACGAAACGCCGCTTGAATTTTGTGCTTTTGGTCTAAAACTATTGATTTTTGCTCTGGACCTCTAGCTTGCCACGTTTTGATAACAGACTTATAGGAAAGATGTAAAAAGTATTCAAAGAAACGTATTTTCGCATGAAGTGGGGATAAACCGAATTCGAAATATTCTCTGTGCACGTCTTTCTTTAAACATTTATCCGAGTTATTCATTTTTTTTTTGGAATTGCTCCACATATAAAACATTTTGTTGAGGATGACTCAGCGTTGCATACTTTTCCGTCTACCATAGTCAGTTGTAAACTATGCTCAACATTTATCAGGCAAGCTCCGGTTTTCACTTTCACAAGATTCTCTCGTTTTCGTTTTCAAAAACGAGAATTGGTGCTCCCGTTTTCACTTTCACAAGATTTTTTCGTTTTCAAAAACGGGCAAGTTTTTTGACGTGAAACGTCTTTAAAATCGCGCCGAAACATACGGGTACCAGGTTTAAAAACTGGACCGTAACGAAATGGTCTATATCATCGTACCTTAATAATTAAAAAACTATTAGTCTTAGAAACAAAAATGTGGTGTAAATATTTCCCTTATATAGTCAGCTTGCTGTTATGACATTGAGTTCGTGTCGGGGTCAAGCGGGGCGGCGGGGGTGGTATACTGCGATAACTGTGCGAAACCGGCGCTCACGCGTGTTTCTATTCAGTGTAACTCGTGACTCCGACTTTATAGCGTGGTGATTCTTTCGTGTGTTTGTCAAGTTTATTTAAACCGATTGATTTACACAAAAATAAGTGTAATTTGGACAGTATTTATATTTAAAATAACCAGAAAGTGACAATAAATATACAAACATTTGCCATGTCGGCCTCAGCGCGTGCAAGAGCCAGCCAGAAATATAAATTAAGGCTGGCGTTACAAAGAGGGGGCTATGGGCCACGCACAGGTACCCCAATGTCTGGCGCCGAGCGAGCGAGACGGTTACGGGAACGTCGCAAAGCCGACCTCGCGAGTACCACTGGAACACCTATACTTATGGACATAACGAATGAACAGACAATCGATATATCTATTGGATCTGCCACGGAACTGAGAGATGTCAATATCAGTAGAAGTGAAACAATGCAAAATCATTGGCGTTCAGCGGACAAACGCTTCAAAACGGTATTTGAAGCCAATTCGTTTGGTTTATCTTGCAGTGTTTGTGATCGTCTTTGGTTCGAAAAAGACTTAAAGAAAGTGAAACATCGCAACATTTCTTTCCTTCAAACAAAATTCCCCGATGAAAATGTGACGGAATTTCGCTTATGCAGTACCTGTAGCAATTTGATAGATGCCAATAAAATCCCAACGCTGCACTGTGGGCGATTTGGTCTCGCTAGCGGCATTTAATTAATAACTTCTAAACTAAAATAGATATCTTCAGTCGGTTTTTTTAACCGATCAAAGAAAAATCATACAATTTTTTAAGTTAAAAAAAGTTTTTTTTAATACTTTTTTATTTTTTTTTTTTTAATTTAAAAAAAATATTTTTTAATTTTAAATTTTGATTTATTTTTATGTTTTTTAAACTTCAATTAATATATTCCATAAACAAACATAATTTAAAAATGGCTAGAATTTTATTCAGAATCATCGGAATCAGACGGCGGCATAGTAAAAATACTAAAATATACTAAAAAAGATCCCTTTTTGCTACTGACATTGTGCCTTAAAAGTACCATAGATTGAAGGCTAGCAGGTACTAGCAGTTCATATTACACACATTGGACGCCACTGATTCACACTTTCGGCTAATAAAGGAGTTAGACTGAATCCACTTGAATCAGGTAAGTTCTTCTCCACGAAAGACAGGTGTACGCTAATCCGGGCTCGTTGTTAATACACTGAATTGC